GACAGGAAGAGCTATATTTACACTGCTGTCCTCATGACACGGACCCTTACAGGTCATAGAAAATGGATGAATGGAATTTTGTGAGATGACAGATTTCAAATTTCCACTTATGTGACATTTAAACTGTCAGAAACCAAAAAAAATCCCCCACTATTCAGTAGAAAAGATGAGGCATTTATGGCAACGAGACAATCATTTTGTGTATAAACAAAAAAAAAAAAAAACAGTAGCAAAAAAATCCCACCAAACTCTAAATTGAATGATACATAACAGCAGCAGGATGAAAAATAATGAATGGAAAGAAAGGAATCTAATTTTAACAGAATTAAATATCAAAGTTTAATGACAGCAGAAATTCTTTTGACATCCTTAAACCAAGAAGAGTCAAAGAAAAAAAAAAGAACAAAACTGTAGTTACTCATCTATTAACACAAAGATTTGTGGTGCAACAGCAGTGGGAGAGGGGTTTTTTGTTTAGTTTTTTTAGAGAGACTTCTGTCTGGAAGGTATTTTGCCAGAAAGTTCTCTTTTCTAATACATCATTTTTTAGTTTTCATTGGTAGTTTGGTCCACTTTTTAGAGAGCCCTGCTGGCATATATTCTTAGTTGCTGATGACCTATACAGCGAGTCATCAATACCTGTTATGGTGCTTCCAAAATGAGATTTTATTTTGTATAGGCTCTATAGGTCCAACAAAACCACCGAGTAACTTGATTACATCAATGTACTATTGTTCTCCAAACCCTGAAATACAGTTTTACAAATTTAACAATTTGTCCAATCACAAATACTTATACTACAAATACTCCAGAATAACCAAACAATCAAATAGTCCCTTACTCTACTCTACATTAAACTTTAGAGAGAGGCGTTTGAGCCCAGGCAGTCACTGAGAATTCATTTGCCTACTCAAACTTGAACTTCTTCTCGTACACCACAAAATTGCTTAAAGGCATACCACAAATGCAGAAAGACTGCAAGACTGTATTAACTGGATGTTACCTAGAATTTCAGTAGCTTACTCATTGCTTCCCCTTCAAACTATCTCAGCTTACAATTAGGGCTGTTGCACTGAGAGAAATAAAACAGTTACTAGGCCCCTAACATGTGGAAGGACCACCCAAACCCTGGAATTACAGCACCATTTTTTGGATGTGTTTTTTTTTTCCCCAGTGCTCCAACAGAGCCTCCACGGTGAAAAGTGCAAAAGGTTTAGGCCACTCCTGCTGGAGAATGGCCAAAATGTTTCTGGTTCTTCTTGTTCTTCTTGTTCCATAGATAAGTATCAGAGCACTTAACTAGCTGGATTAATGAAGAGAAATGTATAAAATTTGAAAAACAGCCCCATCTTCTCAGATTACAGACAATATCAGACAGATTCAATAAGTGGGTAATTAAAAGTTATTTTATATTCACCATGAACACTGGCTACTATGTAAATAATACGTTTTAGTGTCAGTGCGTCACCTGTTTTTTTTACTTTGAATATTCAGACCACAAGTTTATTGGGATTTATTAAGATCAACATGGGAGAAGATTTGGAAACTAATTTACTTTAATTACAATTCATTTTATTTACGGATTTATTTTCTGTAATCTTTCTGTGTATGTTTGTGTGTATGTTTTGTGCTCACAGTATAACAAAGACGTGAAAACTTTGAACTCTTTTACCCTGAAGCTTCACACTGTAATTACTGCATTAAGGGGATGAACTATGCTGAAATTTCATATTTAAAAAGACTTTGATGCTGATAATCTTGATAACTCTAATAACCACTTCACATCAGTTATTACAATTTTCTGATTAGTATGTGTTTTATGTGCACTTTGCTTTCAATTCAGTTTAGTTTCAGTTTAATTCTTGTTTTTGGAAATTCTTTAATTTTCGTTTCAGTACTAGCTTTTCTCAATTTTTAAACTGTATTAATGGAAAATGTCAGAGGCAGGATTTAGACACTACTGATCTATTAATATTTAGGGGTGGCTGTAGTTCAGAATGTAGAGCAGGTCATCTACTAATTGGAAGACTGGTGGTTCGATCTCTGGCTGCTCCAGTCCACATGCCAAATATCCTTAGGCAAGATACTAACCCAAAGCTGATCCCCTTTTTAAATGCAGTTGAGCCTCAATGAACACATCTATCAATGTCTTTGCCAAATTTAAATAAAAACAAAACTAAAAATATTCTCCCTGTAATTCTATTTTAGTTCATTTTTGTTTTGCGCTATATTTCAGTTAACTAAAACTAGATGTGAAAATATATTTGAGTGAACTACAATAGCCTTACTTCACATGCTTTCACGTGTTTATTATACTGATCTGGCATGTGAGACCACATACGTTTGGGCCCCAGATTTCATAGGTACGCCACTGGTGTTAAACGCTTGAAACTTTGCATTACGTTGCCTCATTT